ACCGCCTCTTAAAAGGGAAGTTTCTTCTTCGGTTCCCGCAATGCCTGTTGGGCCTGTGCAACCCCTAGTACTGACCTCTTCCCTTATAACTTGATAACGTCAACTGATTAGGCCTCTGTTTTCGTGTCTTGGTTCTTGATATGGTCTATTTGATCATGCAGTTACTGCTTTTGCTTCATCTCCTATGAATGTGCCAATTGCTATAAAAGCTAAGGAGATTACTGGTTTCCCTGTCCGGAAAGCATCCCCAACACACACTGAAGCTGGATTAAGGGACATTGATAGAAATGGCCTCTCTAGTCGACCTGTAACTAGCATTTCACTTGGTTCTATTAATTCAATATCTCAGAATGGAGCTATAGGTGCTACTCTTGTTTCAGAAGTGACAAAGAGACACATTTTGGGATATGATGAAAGACTTGGGAGTACTGGAACGGGACAGTCTCTTGTGTCCCCTCTGGTAAACATACCGAGCATGCCACAAACTGATAAGTTTAGTGCGGGAATGAGAACTAGTGAAGGTGGTCATGTTGTTGAGTCCAATGTTATGGGTGGTATGGTTTTCTCTCCTTTTGTGGTGCCTGGAATACAGTGGGGGCCTTGAAATTTCTTTCATAATCAGAATGAAGTGGTATGTGGATTTGTTTTCATTTTGATCGATTATCCGAGCTTTTGTTATTGTCCAACTCACACTCTAGAAATGTGGCATTAATGGATGTAAATATTTAAATGATTGTTTTGTTCGTAAAGTATGGTTTTTTTTCATTTTTATGTAGCCATATGACCACTCTGAAGTCTCGATATTTTGTCCTCTGTTATAGTTTAGGAAGCTCTCAGTCTAACCTTGTTGAAGTAGAACTACTCTCAACTTTTATATATTCAGCTTAACTTGTTACTCAACCTTATTAATAGATAGTTTAGGATTACATTGGAGCTTAGTTTCTGTTTTTACCTTATTAGGGAGTAGGGACAGTCTCGTGGAAGAGCTTTTGATGAGAGGCAGAAATTTTCACAACAGTTTCAGCAAGTGCAACAACAGGGTCAGACTGTCAGAGTAATATTCTTGGAAACCAAAAGCAGTTTTGTGCACAACTTCAGAATCCACTTTTCCCCTCAGGTATTGCGTTTAGATTCCTTGGAGATGTGATTTTTCTTCAGCATTCAAAACTTTGTTTGATTTCACTCACTTTATATACTTTTTGGTGGTGCAAGTTGTAAATTATTAATGAATATGGTCATTGTGACCTCTCCAGTAATAAATATATTGTTGCTATGAGTGTGGTAGGGATCTCGTTCAAGGTCTAGAATAACAGAGGTAGAACAAAAAGAATTTTGGATGCATCCTTCAGGATTTCCAGATCTGTTGCTTTAGAGAGAGAGAGAGAGAGTTTCAGAATAAGCATATGGTAGAAATAGGTGTCTGACCTACCTAAGACACATACATTAATTCTTCATTCTTCAAAGGTAGTTTACTGAAGAACCGCATATTGCTATTACAAGAATCATAAGAATTTAGCGAACATAAAGCTTAAGGCAAATAAGAAGCTGACTGAGACTCGATAGGATGTAACAATATCAACACCAACCGGAATCCACAAGTAACTAATAAGAACAATAATGATATTAATACTAACAGTAATAAAAAATCATATGACTCCTATTCTCCTAATAATAAGAAAACTTATGTCCTTTCGCCTTTCGTGTGGCCCTAACAGGAGATATTCGGCTTTCGTGTGGCCCTAACAGGAGATATTCGGCTTTCGTGTGGCCCTAACAGGAGACATGTCCACATTATTACTTCCTTTTTGGAAATCAAACTCGTCTGTCAACCTTGAAGTAAGTCACCCATAATGGCAACCTTTCCACGACCAAATGGCACCAGCAGAAAACAAATAATCCACATGTGATGACACCTCTCAAATTGTTGGACTATGAAGAATCTCATTTTGCAGATACTGGCAAGGCGAGCGTAGAACGACCCTGAAAAGCATCTTATAAGTTGTAATAAGACCATTTTCCTTTAACCTTCTTGGGATCTGCTCACGACATTTTGATAGAAACCCCAAGAATCCAGAACAATTATACAGAAAGAAATAGAAATCAAACTGAAATTCTTGATTGAAGAAGATGAACAGTAATCTGTACAAAGGCCGAAACCACCAATATGGCCGAAGCCCCCAAAGAAAGAGATTATTAGTCTCAGTCTTCCTAAGTCCCAGAGATTATTAGGAGACAGCCACGATCTTCTGCTTTTTTTTTCTTCCTTGCTCCTCTTCCTTCCCAGTACATTACTGCTTGCTGAACCAGAAGCTTTGGTATTTGTTCCTTTAAAATCACTGTAATTGCATTTGTTGCCGTAGCCTCCCAGCACTCACTAACTGCAATTGTTTCCTTGTTTTCATGAGACTCCTCCAGGATTCTCACTTCTGAAGCTATCAATGTGTTGGATGCATATTTGATGTTGCTCAAGTTACTCAAATCATAATCTACAACAAGCCCTATGCGAATTTCTCCATTTACCATCCACTCTGTAAGGCAGTTAGTGTCAATGATAGAATCATTTGTAGTGGCAAGATTTGTCTTATAAAACTTCAACAGCCCACATATGTTGTGCACAACAATGCTACCAGGCGATGTCAGATTTTCTAACCGCCAAAGTCCCCAGTTTGGCCAGTTTTCTTCTTTCCTTTCCCTTATTAAAGAGCCAAAAACTCTTGCAGCCACAGAACGAACTTCAGGGACCACAACAAACTCCTCTATGTTATGAACCTGTTCTTCAACATTCCTGCCCAGAGTAAAATTACCTGTCCATTTCAACCCAAAATCTGAGGAGCTCCCAGATATAAGCTGGACAGGCTGGCGTTTAACAAGACAGCATTCTTCACCAGAATAAAGCATTGCCCTGTTCAAGCTTTGTTTCAATTTCATCTGTCCATTTGCTTCAATATATTGTTCTTCAAAATTTCCTGTTGTTTTCTCAGGGATATAATCTGTAATTCTGAGCTCTCCAGCCACAAACTCCGTATCTAAGTTGACAGGTGAGTCACAACTAGTAGGACCTTTCCCATTCATATGCACCATATCAGATAACACAACTGGAGAATAGACTTGATGTTGATCCTTTGAATTATAAGGGGCAGATAATCCCTCTTCCACCTGGGGTTTCAGAATGATTTTAAGCATAACAGAAGAATGCATCCTAACAGTCCATTTTTGATTGTTCACTGCTGTTTCAGCCCCATTATCATCCTCAATAATCCTTCCTTCACTCATAACCTTCATCCAAGTAGGTGAACCTCCATGTGAAATCAATGCCCCAGCTTGAACATTAGCATATGATTTCTCAGAAAAAGGATAAAGATGATCCTCAAGAATCACTGGACCAGATCTCTTTTGTTCCGGGAAAATTAAATCCTCATAGTTATGAAAATTAGGAGAAATATAATCTGGCCATAGAATAACCTGTCTTTCCTCTTTGATTTCATCCTTATTATTCATTTTCTGGATTATAGATTCATTTGTGTCCATCATAATCTTCTTTATTGACTGAGAAATTTTTTTCGCAGATTGAGAATTACCTTTTGACAAAATTGGCAATTGCGAGCTGAGAACTCCTACTTGCAACAATTTTTGCGAATGGTAATGTGAAGAGCTATGAGAAGAGCGATGCGACGAACCTTGTTTGTCAGTTAGTGGAAGAGACCTATTCTTCCTTGATCGTTCTTCAGTTCTTCTGTGACGCCTCTGATCTTCCAACTCCTCTGAACTGACTGATTTTCGCGAGTGACGCGATTGATGATGGCTAGGCGAATGATGATGGTGAGACCGATGCGATGTGTGCGATGATGATGAAAATTCTGTTCGCGACTGATACTGGTGAAAAGAATTTCGCGATTTCGTCTGCGACTCAGTCGGTGATATCGGCTCATGCCTGGTGTTCCTCGATCGATCTCCAGATGTTCTGCGATGCCTTTGCTCTTCTGATTTTTCTGGACTTGATGACGATCGCGAGTGACGATGATGAGAGTCGCGATGCGACTTGGAAGAAGTGTGCGATTGATTCTTCGAATGTTCTTTCTTCTGGTTCTTAATCTCCGCGAAGCCAGACTTCATCTTCGCTATTAATTCCTCGAACTTTGCCTTTGATTCCTCGAATTTCGCATTTAACTCCTTCCGGTTTCTATCGATCTTCCTTTCCAGCGAATCCAACCTCTCCTCCATTTCTGGTGTACAGAATTCTTCCATCGTTCAGATTCCCGTTCTCCAGGAAGTAAGTCTCTGATACCAATGATAGAAACCCCAAGAATCCAGAACAATTATACAGAAAGAAATAGAAATCAAACTGAAATTCCTGATTGAAGAAGATGAACAGTAATCTGTACAAAGGCCGAAACCCCCAATATGGCCGAAGCCCCCAAAGAAAGAGATTATTAGTCTCAGTCTTCCCAAGTCCCAGACAAATGTCAAAAAGCCTACTCTCCCTGCCCCAGCTTATTCTATTTATACTAATATTGTACACTTATTATTATTAATATTCTATTAGGCCCAGTCCCCAAACAATTAGGCCCAGTTCCTTATTACTAATATTACACTAATAGGCTGGTTCCTATCATATTTACTCATCGCGGTCTGTTTCACCACCTTTCGGCCTACAATCTACTTGATCCATTTTAAGTTGGCTAGTAGAGAGGTTAAGATCAGTCTATACTCTATAAGCATTACCGTCTCTTTCACCACCTTTCGGCCTACGGTCTACTTGATCCATTTTAAGTTGGCTAATAAAGACAGGTTAAGAACTTAAGATCAGTCTATAGCCATTACTGCCCGCTTCACCACCTTTCGGTGTACAGTCAACTTGATCCATTTTAAGTTGGCTAGTAAAGTGTTAAGATCAGCCTATAGGCCCCGTAGACTGCCTTCTTTAATGATCATGAACCCTTCAAACAATTTCAAAATTAAGATCAGCAGGTTTCCCTCCAGCAACAATGTTACATACTTACATTGTCGAGCATTATCCTGTTTTCGGTCATTTCTTTTTGGACCTCATACGCAGAGTCTAAATCTCCGGCCTTGCAATACCCATCAATGAGTGTGGTGTATGTGATTTTATCGGGCCTTACACCTTTTTTGTTCATTTGGGAGATGAGTTTCCAGGGGCCCATGAGGTTCCCGCTCTTCAAAAGCTCGTCAAGTAGTGTGTTACATGTGATCAGATCGGACCAAATGTGGTTTCTCGGCATACATTGATAGATATCCATGGCCAAGTCAACCCGCTCGTCTTCACAGAGCCCTTTAATCAATGTTGTGAAGATCACATGGTTGGGGAGTAAACCTCTCTCAGACATTTCATCAAGCAGTTCACCTGCAGCAGACATTTAATGAGGGTTGAGATTGATTAGGTCGATGATGTCCCTCCTCACACACTAAAAATATAAAAAAAATAAGTGAATAATACAGCAAAACTCTCCAGCAACACACTAAAAATATGAGAACATGTCCCTCCTCACCTCTTATATTAATAGATTGTGTATAATTGTATAGATCTAACCAAACAGAAATTTTAAAGCAAGTTTATTACTCTCTGGCATTGAAGTATGCACACAATGAGATAAAAATTACATTTAAATAAAAACAAAACATGGGGAAAGAAAAATTAAGAGTCAAATGCAAGAATCTTGATGCAGTAGATATAACCTGAATAGTATAGGGGACATTTTCTTTTAAAAAGAAAGAAAGAAAATACTATAGGGAACATTTTCTTTAGGACTTGAGTGAGAAGGAAGGACCCACCACTATGTATTTGAGGCTCCTGTTGTGTAGCATCCTAAGCCAAGGTTTAAATGTTGTTATTTGTTTTGACAAACTGAAGCATTTTTTCTCTAATGAGCTCAATATTACAAAGGCATAAAAATGTTATTTGATTAAGGAGCTACACATATAAAAACAGTTATGAGCTATGTATTCTAAATATTAAAAAACTGTACAAATATAATCCTATCCTTTCATCAAACATAACATACATTAAACAACTATACAAATATAGAGTCCTTTTCTGGTCAGGCGCGCCTGCCGGGGAGCTCCGTGCGGACTTGCCCGTTTGAGGGTCTTCTCGGTGGAATGTTTGATGAATTTTTTTGAGCATGTTCCTCATCAAGTCTAGTTTATGCATACCGAATTTCAACTCAAAATTTGATCGGGAAGGCAGTCAAATAAATTATTGAAACATACTGCGCTTTATATATGCGTAGAATGGGCAGTATGTTTTAAGAATTTTTTTGATAGTATTCTCGATCGAATTTTGAGCTAAAATTTGGTATGCATAAAATAGACTTGACGAGGAATATGCCTAAAAAATTTCATCAAAAAATTCCACTGGAAAGGCCCTCAAACGAGCAAGTCCGCACGGCGCTCCCTGTCAGGCACGCCTGACAGGATCTTTCCTCTACAAATATAATCCTATCATTATAAGAAAAGATAAATGAAAAGACAGATTTACTTCTCAGTTATAAAATAGGAAACATTTGGGCTTTGCAAACCCATAGAAGAGGTATCATCTAACCTACCCTAAAAGAAATACTTACACACATACTTCTGTCCTTATAACAAAACAGTCATACATGGACACATTCTATGTTGTTTCTATGTTATTTCAAGTTCCTTATCCATATACTCCAAAAATACTCCGCAGATTCCATTTCTACTTTCATCAAGCATAAAGTGAAATGTAAATTGTTGTTTTTGTATCATCTTCCAATGAGTAGCTCAGATTTTTCAATGTATATTAATATTCTGGGAAAACCAAAACAAACTATTTTACTATATTTATCATCCAAAAAGGAAAATGGTAACAAATACAAACAGAAAGATACAGAAATATTTTCGACATTATGAATAGTTTATCTAAAATGAAAAATAACTCACCTTTGCACTAATGAATCTGAGGTTTTAAAGCCATTTATCATCTGTAAAACTTATATATTATCCTTGAATATTTTTATGTTTAGGGCCAAAACGATTTGGAATCTTGTGTCTGTTAGAACACTACATCTCTGGTCCATCTCCATTTCCATAAAAAGTAAACCATTTTCTACTAAGTAATGACACAATTGTTTAGGATTGACTGTAAAGAGGGATGTAAGTATAGTACATATATTCAAGATTAAATATATGTCAACACTTGCCATTTAGTACGAAAATAAATGATAATTCAGTCCTTTCTCTCAATTTGAAAAGGAAAGTGTTATATAATACCTTTCCGGCCCCATGAATGAATAAGATGAATGTGAGGGTTTCCGAGCTTTTGAACTGCGATAAGTGAAAAATTGGCCACAGGTAAGTGGAGTGATTCTAAGCTGATAGGCGTTTTGGTTTGAGCCATGAATCTTTCCAGATTGAGAGAAAGAGCGATCTGAAAATGGACAGAGAAAGAAATACTGTGTAAGCGGTAGATCTGATTAGTTGATCGCACAATTATGTACGGAGTATTAGGATAAGGATTACCCAAACAATGCTTTTCCAGTTCTCCCAATATACCACACCGACACATTCGCTCCCTCAAAACAGTATATAACGCCCCCTCAGACCCACCTTGTCAAAGGTTGTGGTATGCTTTCTGAAGTAGTTACCGTATATAATCATTCCATAATTGATAACTGATCAATATCTGAGCTCTTCCTCTGAGTCGCTAATTGTTGAATTTATTCTAAGTGAGTAGACTCACTAGATATGACTTTTTTAGCCCACTTTTATACCAACCCTTATTTGTGAAGGTTTTTTTTGTCTGTGAGCTTCATTCACAAACAATATTTTGTTTATGCAAAATTTGCACAGATAAAATAACATGTATTTTGTCTCGAATTCACAAACAAAAAAACATTCACAAACATGGTGGGTATAAGATGAGTATAAGGGTGAGTACATCAAGCATTGCTGATAATTTTTTTTGCACTAACAATCATATACATGTATTTTTACATTACTAATTAAAATTTTTGGGTGTTCACAAAAACACTTAAACAAGCATACGTCCCAGTATACAACAAACTTCATCCTCTTATTTGGTCAAGAAAAAACTTCATCCTCTTATACTACACTGCATCTGCTCGTGAATGAATATAACATGTTGAGTTCACACTTCACTCTACATTTTATTTATTACGGAGTAATAATCTTTTTTAAAATTCATTTTTGAAAAAGGAAATGCTCATTTAGAATGTTTTACTTGAAGTGGAATTTAATATTTTAGTCTAATTTAATCTATTTAAGTCTAATCTGGTTAGGGAGTCAAAACCGGCGGAGTAAAAATATCTTTTTTATGAACCGAGATAGGAGATGCATTATCCGGTTATCCCCGGTCCAAGATATTTGACATAACCATTTACCAAGGGGGTTGGGCCACAACCACGTGTCGCTCATACTCCCTTCAATCTCCGCCACTTGTCATTTCGCCGTACGTTCTCTGCCTCCTCACCCACCAAATATCCGGGCAATTTTGTCATTTCAATGTTTCCCCCTTCCTTCTTTCTCTTCTCCAGGCCCTCCGGATTGTTTAAGCTGTGCCCACCCTCCTCCCCATCCTTTCAATTTCTCTCACTTTTTCTTGATTTCCCGGCTTCCCTTTGCCGGAATATTCCGGCAATCGTCCTCCTAATAGTATAGTGAAATATTTAGTTCGTAGTTTCTTGGAATTCATCCGATACTGGTTTGGATTGATCGGTTCTGAAAGATTCAATCCTCAAGCTTTTTGGAGCTCAGATGCTCTTAAAGATCATATTTTTATTTCTGGGTGTTCCAAGATTTTGCGGTGGAATGATTCAATATCCAGTTACTTGAGCTTTGATCAGTTTAGTAGTATTTCTCATGGAAGATAGTCCTGAAAAAATGAAGAATACTGGGTTGGATGGAAGCAGATGCTCAAGGGACTTGTTGCAGAGGTTCATGGAAGTCACCTGCGGCGGTCCCGAGAAGGGAGCTGAGAACGACGGAGAGATGGAATTGAATCTTGGGTTGTCTATGGGTGGGAGATTTGGGGTGGACAGGGATTCAAAAAAGCTAGTGAGATCTGCTTCCGTAGCTTCATGTTTACATATTGTGAGAGAGGATGATGCGGTGGCTGCGCCGCCGTCTCCGGTGGCGATTTCCAGTTTGGTCAGAACTTCTTCCCTGCCGGTTGAGACGGAGGAAGAGTGGAAAAAGAGGAAGGATCTACAGAGTATGAGAAGAATGGAAGCTAAGAAAAGGAGATCCGAGAAGCAGAGGTGTTCAAGGGGAGATAAAGACGCCGGCGCCGGCGGTTCTAAGAGGGAGGAGCAGTACCAAGCGGCGGCAAAGAGTTATTATGGACGTGGGATTGAAGTGGGAATGATGAAGGGGAAAAAATGCTACCCTTCATCTAGAGGGTCACTTGAGTCTCAAGGGGGTAGCTCTTCAAGTATATCAGAATTTGAAAATAAAGTTCTTCAAGGTAACTTTATTGCTTTCAATCATATGGAGTAATTTATTTACCGCTTCAGTTTACCACAGTAAATAATGAGTGCTTAGTTCATTTCTACCCTTCATAATTTCATTTTTACCACAGTTTACCACACTCTTGTGATAATTTCATGAATCTATACTCTATACTTGTGGAAACTATTTCAACCCAAAAAGGGAAACTTGTTACATTTCCATCTCAAGCCTCAACATGCTACTTTTGACTTGGTTATCACGTTGTGTTGTTTTTACTACGTGTTACTTTGTCACGTGACATTTTGATAAGAATCACTTAATTTAAAGCTCTTTTCTTAAGTTTGTACCTCACTCCTTTTACTTGGGGTGACATAATGTGATGGAGTACTAGTACAATACCTATGTTTTAAACTTTTATTATTTATTACGGAGTACTTCAAAAAATTGATACTCTTTTAGGTGATAAATCCCCATAGATCTATGATTAAAACTATATTATTTCTTTTCAATCGGACATTGTAAACTTTGAGCTGAGTGTGAAACTTGAAAAATAAAAATTGTATGAATAATATTTGTGTAGTGTGGAGAATGTGTCAACTTTTTTGACAAATAAAAAAGCATAGTTGACAAAATATAGTGAGACGGATGAAGATGAGGAAAAAAACGAGAAGAATGCACTCAATGATTAGTGCAATGGAAAACAAATGGCTATCAGTCTAGAACACCCTGCCACCATAACCACTAATGTGTCTCTTCACTGGTGTGAGAGGTTTTCATGTTTGTATGGTTGTCTCTTGTTTGCTCCTGTGTATACATTTTATCTTAGTGGATGGTGTATGGGAATATTGGATGTACAATTGGAGAAAGATAGCACACACTAGTTGACTTATGGAATACTAGTATATCTTTTCACACTGTTTTTTTTATTGGAATAAATGCTTTTTGGCAATTGGGAAAGAGTGTTCTGCAGCACAAGACAGAATATCTCAATATCATTTAGCCTTATTACCTCTTGATCACACAGAAACACCTTAATCGGTGCGTCAAGTCTCCCCTTCACATTATTACTCGAGAGTAACACAGTAAATTAATTAGAAGTTCTTTACCAAATGAAAAAGAAAATCATATTTTACTTAAAAAAAAATGAAAACCTTATTTATGGATGTCCTGAAAAAGAATATAGAAAGTTCTTAACGGGACGAAGGGAGTACAAGGAAGGCGGAATTTGACTTTGCATCCAATTTGTTTGGCTAATATTGGACTTGACACCCAATCTTTTTGGGTAACATTGGACTTTGCACCCAATTTCACTTAAAAATCCTATGACTTTGCACCCCATTCAGAAATTTTTCTTCCAAAAATGTTATGTGATGGGATGCAAACTGCAAAGTCAAAGTTTTTCAAAATGGGGTGCAAAGTCCAATATCATAAAAAAAAGTGTGGTGCAAAGTCAAATCCTCTAGAAGGAACCATATTGTTCAAAAAAGATAAACTTACTGTGTGTTTGTAGTAGACATCAAACAACATAACTTACCCCTCGAAAACATTTCCAAGATAAGTCGACAATATATATATTTCCCTAGAAGCAAACTGTTTAAAAATCATTTTTCTGGTACAGGATCCTGTGAGTTGAGCCCTGGGAGTATTCAATCCTTGCCAGAAGGAAGAAGCCAAGAAGCCGGTTCTTCTACAACAAAGACAAGTGATCTTGCAAGAAAGATGCCAGGAGCCGAAACTGAAACATCGTCTAACAAGCAACGGGAAACCACAGGACTGCAGGCGAAAAAGGCCGGGATGGCACCCGTGGAGGAGATGCCGGGTGTTTTCACTAAAGGAGATGGCCCAAACGGGGAAAGGATAGATGGAATACTATACAAATACGGTAAAGGTGAGGAAGTGAGAATAATGTGTGTTTGCCATGGGAGTTTCCTCTCGCCTGCCGAGTTTGTGAAGCACGCGGGAGGGAATGATGTTGCTCATCCCCTCAAGCACATTGTCATTAATCCCAACTCTTCTTCTTTTCAGTAATTGTTGTATAATTATCATCAAGTGTAATGTGCGTGGAATCATCACGCAGATATAACCTTTTGCTACTACCTCTTTTTGGGAGTTTTCTTGCAAGAGGAGCGCGTGAACATTTGGCGCTCCGAAATGAGAAGCTCGTAAAAGCTCCAAATGGCGCAACGCAATAAGCCAATAAGCTTCGAGCTAGGCAAATAGGAGCTCAAAGATTCAATTGGTATCACATAAAGGGAAATGAAATGAACCCCCGTTACTCAAACCACCCTAAAGGTTGCCAAGATCAGAATTCCAGAGGGAGTGTGATTTGCACTTGGTATTTACAGAGATCTTATATCATTGGACCCCAGAGCTTGTTATTAGAAGTTGATTCGTCAAAACAGGCTTGGTGGTGTTCAGAAAAGTTTGGCCTAATTAGTTGTTTGATACTTGTCTAGTTAAGAGAGAATGTATTGTGTTTTAATTTGTGTAGGACAAAGTTTGTTGTTTTCTTTAAAAATAAGATGGTGGAATGAATAAATAGTTGCTGCAACGGCAAAGTCCTGGAATACAAAACAATACTTCATGTACATTTTAAAAGTGTAAAAGTTAAAACGATATACACTATAACGTTTGACTCTCTTTCATATTAATTGTCCTGCAATGTAGGCAAATTATATTGGCATGTTTAACCTTTAGCGGATAGGGAATTATGTTAACAATTTTCAATAGCGGATTTGGTCAACGGGGTTTCACTAGCGAAATAAATCGGCGGTTGTTAAAAAATGTTTGGTAATTTAGCTATTTGGCCATAAAATTAGTAGAAAACGTCATTTTTCGAAATGTCTACCCAAAACTCTCATATTAGCAGCGTTTTCGGAACCCGTCCAAAAACGCTAGTGGCGAACAGCTTATACCAAACAATTTTTTCATTTATAGAAAACGTTAAAAGTTATCAAACCATCATTTTTCGGCTTAAACGTCATTTATCAAACACGTCATTGTATATTTGTATAGACGATTGTATATTTGTATAGACGATTGTAGATTTGTTATTTGTACTACACTCATGAGGAAAAAGTTTTATACACCAACCGGCTATATACCGCATGACAACTTTATAATTCTTCGAAACATTAAGTGAGATAACTATATTTTATTTGGATAATTTTTCCAAGGAGTAAAAATATTTTAAAATTTTAAAATATAAGTACTATATTTTTATTCTCTATAAATAAGAGTAATTACTGTTAAGTTTGAAAAATATTGTAATGTTCAAAGTTTAGTATATATTGCCAAAACATGATAATAATTATTTCTATTTAGAGATCAATAAAAATAAAGTAGGCATATTTTAGAATTCATGAATACTTTATACCTATCTAGGATATTTTATTTTTTTATCTTTCTTCTTCCCCTCTTTTTTATCTTTAAGGTCTTCTTAATTTTTATCAAAAACTTACTTTTACCAAATATAGTTTGATAAAGACATTTCCCTATCCCTTCTTGCTAATAATGTTACCACCTTTTCTTTCAAAGTGTTCTTTCAAAGTGAATTTACATCTCTTTCTTGAGGAATGTTTAGTGCTTGATATTTATATTAGGGGTGAGATTTTGAAACCGGGAACCGTAGAACCGATTGGAACCGAACCGTTATAATCCGGTTCGGTTCCTACAAATGAGGTATTAGTTGTTAACGGTTCGGTTCATAGATGTTGTTAACGATTGGTTCCTGGTTCCAATAAAAATATGTGCATGAAACCGTTAAGGAACCGTTATTAAAAAAAATAGTATTACTAGTAGTAGTAATAATCATGTAATAACAATCATAACCACCACAAGAATGATAATACAATACATATTCAAATAACGATTCTAATTTTCCTTCAAAAAAACTAACAATTCTAATTTAATCCACGAAAACAGAAGTAATAAATATTGCACATGAGTTGATATAATACATTGCGCTCATTTATACAAATCAAGTTTTGTTTCATCACATAAATTTTATAAATATAAAATAACTCAAATAACTTGTACGTAGTTGATTGCACATATTTTACTTTACTATTTTCATAATATTTCTAATTATTAGATTTATTACAAATCATGGTACTAGCAAGTAGAATGTAATAGTGTTTTTGTATCCATACATGTGAACTCGAATACTCAATGTATTTTTATGTTCTGAAAGACTTAAAGTAGACATCCTTTACTTGCTACTATGATGATGACTTTTATGTTTTATTTGTTACATGAAAAATTAAATCATCATTTGTTCTATTAATTGTTCGCAGTTCAGTAGTTAAGTTTGAGTTTGGATGTTTGAGTTAAAATAAAATTTTATTACTCGTGTTTTGAATTTTCGACGGGTTTATGTTGTAGAAAGTAAATTATTTGTTAATTGACTTAATTCTTAGATAGAAAAATTTATTTTAGGAACCGGTAAAAGGAAGGAACCGAACCGTTTAGTAATGGTTCGGTTCCATAACGGTTCTTGATTTTTTATACAGGAACCGAACCGATTTCATTAGTTAGAATTTTATAACGGTTCCACTCATTTTGAGTAAGAATCGAACCGAACTCGATTGACATGGTTGCGTAGGTGCAGACAGCAGACTGCGGTTGAATAACATGTTTGATATACGTAATTTATTTTGCATAGTAATTCTTGTTACGTTTTAAATGGATTTAATTTAACTAACTTTTTTCAACACCTATCGTACATTTTTAATAGTTGTAGTTTCTTGTTTCTATTCTTTTGGTTGAATGTTTAAGAATTAGCTATTAGAGTTTGAATTTGTAATTAAAGTTTTTTTATTCAATTTTTTTTGCATTACTATTTATGATTTTTTAGTTCTGTTGTTCTATTTTTCTCTTCAAAATGAAGTTCATTAAATTAGTTTCACAATGTCATTGTGTCTAGATTGATCGAGCTTTTATTTAAGAAAAAGAGAATTTTATTGAAATACTGAGAAACAAAAAAAGAAAATAAAAGAAAGAAAATAAAAAGATACAAAAAAAAGAAAAAACTAAAACTACACCCAAAGAAATTCTCTTGATTGAGATCTAGATTGATCGAGCTTTTGTAGTTGACAAACCTAGGGAATGTTTGTCACAACTAACTGAAAAGATACTTTTAATTAGCTTTTTAGTAACTGCTAGTTTTTTTTAAAGAAAAATAATTGTTAGCTTTTCGTGACTAAAAGATCCGAAGACGAAAAGGTGATAGCTGGTTGATAAAAAGCTGACTGTTTGATCTGGTTCAGATTGATATACAAGATGTTGGGATTACTAAAGATTAAAATTTACAGACTTTTCTCATATTCTACTTCTTTTAGAATGTCAAAAATATCTTTTATTTAAAAAAACTTTTTAAAAATTTCATTTTAAGCATACAACTAGAAACTTTTACGAACTTTTTAGTTAGTATAAAAACTAGAAAGTATGGACTTATGTCTATCAAACAAATGCACATATTGTATACAAACTTGTACAACAATTGTAGTATGCTTTATAAAAGATTTTTCTAAAACAAATGAATTGCCATATAAGCTAATGCTACTAGTCTTGATTATGAAAAATCTATTAGGTGTGTAATATTTGAATGAACTTTATGTAATACTAAAATAAATATTATGCTAATTATAAATGTACAATGGTATAATATTATAAAATAAACACTATAGAGTTAATACATTTAATAGAAAGAAATATAAATTAATTTTTACCAAGTATTATCTTTCTCATAGCTAAAAGAAGTAGTCTCCATCCCTCTAATATTGAGATAAAATGGAGTGGTGCAGTTGTTAAGAAAAGTGAAATTGTATGTTTAATTAATCTGGTATTAAATTGATAAAGCTAAAGTGTAAATAAAATAAAAATGAATTGTAATCACCAAAATTTTATCAAATATGATGTGAAACAAACTTAGTGGAACGAATTAAAAAGTAAAATAGGATAAAGATAGGGCGATAGAAGAAATAATAATTTTATTGTTTGTAAATTATATGGATATGAGTTATGCATTAATGTATTATATATTTATATTATACTAAGAGCTCATTTGATAACACTGAAATTGTTCGAATCGGTTGAATCTGCTGAAATTGACGAATTTTTAAGTGAAGTTGGTGGACTGGTTGATCTTGTGACATTGGGAAATATTATATTTGAATTTTGAAATATATTTTATTAATAAAATTAAGAAACATTATAGACTCCCTATGAAAATAGCTAAAATGACAATCTAGAGTAATTTCAACCAATTCAGCTAGAAAAGTAACTCCAGCCTCGCTTATTTTTATTATTACATAATGCAACGCATGATATAAAAAATTACTGTGTTAAGTAGAAAAATTAACTAACAAAATCAACAAGTTGGGAAAAAAATAAGCGAGACTGAAGTTACTTTTCTGATTGAGTTAATATATGTAGAAAGAGGTTAACTCGGGCCCCGATTCCAGGCCAAGACTACCTTGTTATGGCGTATTTGTTATAAAGCTCAGGATCATCCCAATATTTTATTTCTGGGTCGGAAAATATGCTAGGACCAGAATCATTAATTTTTTTACCCGATTTCAAGCTAAAAAAAAAATTACCGGTCCAGCACCACAACCGCCTCCTGGATCCCCCTATATGTAGGGCTGAGCAAAACCCGATACGGCCCGAAAAACCCGATATTTTTTCCGGATATTATCCGAACCGAAGTGGATATCCGACCCAAAAAACCCGAAACCGAAAATCCGATTAATATTGGGCCTGGACCGGGTGGCGGGTAGGGTTTGTGAAATCCCAACCCGACCCGCCCGAATATCCGAAATATAGGTTAGTGTGTACTTTGAATATTTAAATTAATACTTTTGTTCAATTATTTGTGCAATTTGTATTAAATTATTTGTTTAAATTGAATGTGTAGTGCACTAATGTGTACAATTTTTATCAAAGTGGCATTCCAACACATTAATTATCCAATTATAATGTGTTTTAATATAACAGAAATATCCTAAATATATTACATTATGTAGTGTGTACTTTGAATATGTTAAATTAATACTTGTGTTCAATTATTTGTGTAATTATTTGTGCAATTTGTGTTGAATTATTTGTGTAATTTGGAAGTTTAGTGCACTAGTGTGTACAATTTTTGTCAAAGTGGCATTTAAACACTTTAATTATCCAGTTTAATTTTTTTTAATATAACCGAAATATCCGAAACCCGACCCGATATCCGATAATATCCAACTTAAAAATATCCGAAATACCCGATTTGAAATATCAAAGGGTCGGGCCTAGTATTTAAATTAAAAAACCCGAACGGGTTTAGTGTTCGCAAACCCGACCCGCCCGAACCCGACCCGTGCACAGCCCTACCTATATGTAAATATAAGAAATAATAAATTTCTGGGAAAACTATCAAATAAGTCCCGACTATGCCGGAAAAGTTGATTAGGACCTCGTACTTTACAAACACTCAATTAAGTTCTCGAACTATTAAAAAACGTTAAATTAAGCCCTTTTGGTCGGTAAGTAACCGGTTTCCGCTAATTGAACGTTTTTTAATAGTTCGAGGACTTAATTGAGTGTTTGAAAAGTATGAGGCCTAATCAACTTTTTCGGTATAGTACAGGAGTTTTCCCTAAATTTCTTTCCTACTAAAATTTTTACGCTTTTCATTGATAAGATATTAATAATTAATAACTGAGTAAACAAAACTTTTTTTAGAATAACAAAACTTACTCTATTAGGTTGGTTTCAATGGTTTGTAATGAATATATTATATGCGTGAATCATTGGAATTTTTTATATTATATGTACAATGTTTTAAATAAATGTACATTAATACAAAATCATAAAATGAGCACCATAGAGCCCCACTCTCTATCTGTCAGATTGTGATTATAGTCCAATTTACATCCTCCCATCGTGCCGTCCGGTCGGTGTTGGGGGGCCCTCAGGGATGGGGTGTCATCCTTTTTTTTTTTTTTCATAAAATGAGCACCATTAAAATATCAGAAAGCATATAATAATTATCTCATTATGAAATGTGCATGTAAAAATTGAGAAAAGTAATCTTCTATTATAAAAAAAAAATCATCAACATATTATACGGTGCCTATTATTATACTATACTAGTAATCTTCAATTATGGTATTATTATACGGTGCCTATTTGATGAATCAATGTACCTTATTAGAAGTGTACAAGGTACAAACTATAGATGACAACCAAGTCTATAAGCTGATACAAACTATTACAAAGTACATAGTACATCCTTATAGATTTGCTCATTTCTAACTTCTAAGCAAAATTTGCCTTGTAAAGAGTAGCACAAAATAAAAATCATCAACATCTACAGTCTACTCAACAACAGCAAGAAAGAAAAAAAAGGAAAAAGACATTCTAGAATGCAAAAAAATATAGGCAAAGAAACTCTCATTCCAATTTTAAGATCCACAATACCCCAATCACTGTCTGGTTAGATTTAAAAAAAAAACTCTTTCTTTGGGTCATGGATAGGGCTAACTACTTCTCCTGCTCCATGAATGGACTACAAATTTTTATATCCAAAACTCACAATTTCATGAAAGTAACATCTAGTACTGGCTGCCATGGCCATTGCCTCCCCTGTTACCCCTCCTTCCACCACCATTCCACTGGTAACCGTCTCTGTCTCTCCCATCTGAGCTTCTTTTCCGGTGGCTCTGATAATCATAATACCCACCATCGTCCTCTCCATCACAATATCCATTGTAAGATCCTCCTCTACCAGATGAAGTGTTATTATGGTAGGGCCCGCCTTTCCCCCCTGGAGCCCTTCCAACGCCATTGTTGCTACCAGAAGCAGGAGCCCAAGCTACAGGTTTTCAGAGCATTACATAAGGAAGGCTTCTTGAATAGGTTAAATAACTCATTTGAGAAAAAGGGCCTTTTGCAGATCAGTAACAACTAGTTTGCTACGCCATATTACCATTTACTGATTTACCTATGTAACAATCCCACACCGGTCAAGTATGGGGTTGACCAGTGGCTTATAAGCAAGGTGTTCCCTCCTCCTAATCGGTTGGTCTTTTAGGAGTGAGTTCTATACTAGACTTATGGCACTGGTATGACCTAGTATGGGCTAGGTCCATAACAACCTAACATCTTTCTGAAGATCTGAGGTGGAAAAATTGGTCAAAACAGCTTATTATAAGCGACTCATTTCAAACAGTTAACTGATGTAAACAGCAGACAAGGTTTCAAGTTTCAACAGTCCATGATATATTCATTAGCCCTAGGTATTTCATTATTAAACATTTAAAATTTTGAAGATATACTATGAAACATTCATAGTTATACCATAACAACGTTGCAAATATAGAGTTTTGTGACATGTATAAAAATAACTCAAATGTGACAGGGGTGGACTTGGTCATACTTTAAGGGTTCAGGCCTGGTTCGTGCAAAATAGGACCAGGCCAAGTATTTCTGGTAATGGTTACCAGAGTTGGATTATTCAACCCGGAACACGGCGAAGTATTGCTGGTAACGGTTATATATCCAATCCTTTCGGTCATTCCGTGACACGGAAACCGACATTCATTCAGGTCCACCCTAAATGTGACACATAATAAATTTAAAGCCTATGCAACAAAAGCAATATGATTATATGACACAGCATTTTAGATAAATGGTTTTCAATCAAATAAACATATTACCTCTGATGTTTGATTTCTTGTATGTTATGTATGCTTCTTTCCCACGGATGGTAATATTGTGAGCCTGAGATATAACCAAAAACAGTGTTAAGGATAATAGTAAAAACTAAAAAGCCAAAAGAAATACCAACAAATGCCATACCTCGACCGCTCTGTGTGCAGAATCTTCGGTCTCAAAATGTACAAATCCGTAAGTGAATCCATCCTGTTTGACAATTCCAGGTTTGGAGCATTCGAAAGTTTAATGACAGATAATTAATGAACTCTAAAACAACACTGTACAAAACATAAATTAACAAACCTCATTTTTGTTATCAATAACTTGAACACCATCATTCTTTTTAACTTTACCAAACATCTTGACAGCTTCGGCGAGCTCATTCTTCGTTGTGTGGGGTGGTAATCCTCCAATATATATTCCCGTAGCTGGTAAGAGATACACACGGTTCTGCAGTTCATCAGTATGTAGTGCACCAATATAAAACTAAGGATGCATTTTTTATGATGGAAAAGTCATTGGGAGAAAAGAGATTCTATTGTTCAGCATCTCATATTACTAAAGATGGTAGTCAAATGAGATTATTTTCCCTTAATTGGAGCAAAATATGCCCTGAAGACTTGATTGGATCCAAAATGCATTGTGAAGAATCAAATCAAGTTCGTGGAGGTCTAAATTGAGTGATAGTAGGTATGGTAGTGAAACTAAAGCGCATACTAACTGTAAATTGAGTTGATACTTAGACGCACGTTGAAAGATATTTTCCGTCGTTTCATCACTCAGGGGAGAGGCAGTTTTGTACCCCACACCGTTGGAATGCAAACTCATTTTCTTGATTGAATCATTGCCAGTAGGGACTTGTGGCTTTGTTTCAATCAAACTTCCATCATTTGGTGAAACTCTTACAATTGGGAGGGGAGGAGCATGAGGACATGTGCTCTCTTTTGACAGCTATACCAAACAAAAACCAAATTTTTATTTAGCAGAAGGATCATAAATTCCCAGCTATACCATAGAAAAACAAAGAATGTATGTTTAGCAGAAGGATCATAAAATTAGTATGATAGTGGGGTTGCATATAAAAAACTAACCTTTTCAAGATAGGTTGTCTTAGGGGTAGCTTCTTTAGAATTAATTACTGGTGGTGTTGGAAGTGATTCAATAGTTATCTTCTCACTTGATGGATTCAGTTTAGATTCAGAAGTGGCATCTTTTGCTTCTGCCTTTGTGCACGTTTTCTCAGGAGCCTCAACAAGCTCTGAAACATCTGCAAGACACATAGCATGATAAATTTAAAAGTAGTAAGAATAATCTGCGGAAAGCATGTTTGGTTACCATAAATAGTGTTACTCTCTCTGGAAAAAAAACCGATTCTGACTGTCCTTCACCTATCCATATTCCACTTTGCCTGGAGTTGTGTGTGATTGGGTTTCAGTTGGCCAAAAGACAGTTTATAGCAGGTTCATTTTTTAATACTCCGTAGTTCAGTAAAAGATATCTACGGTAATGGAATTTGTGCTGTATACATTCTTGAAAATGTGAGTAAGAGCTGTTTAGAAAATAACCCAGACATGGATTTAAGAATGAATAATAACCTAAAGTGGTTCAGAAATAAGTAACTAAGCAATACAGATTGTCTTTTTCCAAACAGACTTCAAGGAAGTAATTTCAAACAAAAAATGAAAAAACAGCTTTTAAAGATCACACACTTCTAGACTCTAATAGCACTTTAGATATTCCAAAAGTGATTGAGAAACACAAACGACGTAATAAATATAAACGCACTCTAGATATTCCAAAACTAGAAGCCAAAAATATATTTATTTTCCTTCAAAATTAGAGAATGCATTTCTAGAGGAATGTATTTAGATTCATAAGAAAGTGAATTTATTTCTGGGGAAGGAATTTTTAATGAGTAAGCCAAATGTGCTTTAAATGCTTAGTTGTGTTTTAGTTATCTGAATCAAATCCAGAACTGAAATGCAAAACAAAGAGTCTCTAGGGTCTAGATACACTTAATACCAAGAAAAGATTATTCATTCATACGCTCTATGGAAGTATGAAATGGATTAAACACAACATACCTGAATTGGTGGATGAAGGAGATTCTGATGCTTGAAGGACAGAGCCATTTTCAGCTTCAGGAGTTGATGGATTCATATCATGAAACCGTAAAATGTCATTCGAGACAAAAAAACCCCTCTCTTGTCTTGCAAGAAGGAAAGTATGGCTAAATGCTCTAGTCACGTCATCATTTCCGGTCAAGTTTCCAGCAACCACCAGAAGAATACTTCCATGTAAAGACTTTTGAGCATACACACTCTTCACTTCCACGTCAGAATCCTTGTAATCCGAAGACATGATCATATCGTTTATTCCCTGCCATAAGTGGATCATGCGTTTTTTCATTACATACAAAATATGAAGCACGGAATACGAGAATTTTAACACAACATACCAAAAAACATAAGAACACACATAAGGCAAAGATCGCAAGTAACTTAAATTAGTACAGAGTAAAGCAAACAAATCAATCCTTCCCTCTCATCCCCTCCAAAACCTGCCCAACTAAACAAGCCCTAAGTGACTACCGAAATTGGTGATTCCTTTTGTAAATACATCTGTTAAACCCACCTATTTATTAGAGTGTGTTTGGTTACCATGGAAAGCATTAATTCACGAAAGGTGAAAAGAGGGAGTTTGACACCAATCTTGGCACAACCAAACAATATTCTCCATAGAAATTTGGCTCCTTTTCCTGAAAATAAGGGGATTCATTTGAATCATTTCTAGGGGCTGGGAGGCAAAACTTTAATTCCTGGTGAAGTCCCTTCACAAGAAACAACCAGACGCCCACTTATAAAAATATTTAGCATGCAAGTGAGCAGCCTCCATAGATAGCTTGCATTATTAACCATGTCGACATTTCACAATCGTTAATGCAAACTATTGTGTTTAATTTTGTTACTTTTAGAAGGCTACAATGTGATGTTTAGGATCGGTCTCTCATATGCATTAATCATACAGTCAAGCAAAAGCTACAATCATTACACAATTAGAGACAAAAGAATTGGATAGAGAACACAGTATATATATGCTCACTTTCATTGTTGTCACTGAATGCACAACACCATCTTTTCCTTCCCATCCAGCAACACTTGAGTCCTTGTAGAACTTATGTGTATCTTCAGGCCGGTGATATAGAACATGGTAATATTGGTCAGTGAATGCGATTCCTACTGCCTCCGCAGTGTGACGTTCCACCATCTGTGAAACCAGACATGAAATAACTCAAACCAAGTTTCGTTATAATAATACTTGAAGACTTCTACATGAAGATTTAGCACCGCAATAGAGAAAACATGTTGAAGAGACGCTCCAAGAAAGCAAATGAAGGATGATAAACAAAACCCTGTTTACACATAATCCCATAAAGCAAGACTTTACAAAATAAAAATGAAAAATACAAGCATAAAAATATTAATACATTGGTTGAATTTAGTATCACATGAAACAAGATAAATGGACTGGTTCATACCATTTGTTGAAAATATAAACCTTTATACTCTTAATCCCATATTTCATTTCATTCACAATTGTTAACATTCTTAATATGGACAGAAAATATCTCTGTAAATGCAATGCATCATACAATGGGTAGCCGGATGCCCGGACTGTCTGGTAGACTAAAATAGAATGGATTACCAGAGCTTGCACATGGGCATATCATTGTGATTAACAATTTACACTATGTATTATTTAATTAAATAAAAGGATCGTTATTTTTTGTTATAATAAATTGAATCAGGGCAGCGGCAGCAAAGGAGCTGCAGCAATTTAAGCCTATATTTCAGTTCAAAAAAAGGGGAAAATATAAACGTAAAAATAGGGAGGGGAAAAAAAGCGAAACTTAAGTTGCTTGCTTTAAGTTGCCTATCAAATTTAAACACATTTAAGAATAAGCAACCCGACGTCCCAACCCTCTGATAAACCCTACACCCCAATAAGAGACACTGATGTGATCCGTGAATCATTAGCGAAAGCTTGACCCATAATCGCTTACAGCAAACGGAAAAATAGTCCTGAAAACCCCCCATTCGAACAAAAAACTTTCTATCAGCAAAATTCAGACATTTAGTTTCAAAACCGAAGTTTTCCACACATATAGCAGCAGAATCATGGCAAAAAAAAGTAGAGAAAAACAATGAGCTTATACCTTTGAGCAAAAAGCTGAAGCGCTTTGGGGGGGAAACAAAACTCAAAAATACGCCATTTCGGACATGGGAGTGATTGCTATATAGGGTGGAGATGGTTCAGGGCGAAATTTTTGTGATTAATTTTTTTTATTTATGTTTGTAAACGGAAAATCAAAAGAAAAAGCGAAGAGGCGGTTTTAGAGGACAGATTCTTTGTCCCGAAATCGATTTCGTTTCCTACTCGCTCTTGGGTTGGAGGGAGTTTTTGTAAATTGTGGGGTCCGTATATATTTTTCGTTTTTTATTAGGACTCCCAGTAGATGACAAATTTGTCATACTGCGTGACAAATTAGTGATGGTACATACCCAAGAGGCCAAGACTCGTAAAATTTCAAGAAATAAATGAAAAATATCAATGACCTATTTAGGATGTTTTTATTTGGACTGTAATTTGTCCCAGACCAGATCAGACCAGACCAAACCAGACCAGTTCAGACCAGACCAGACCAGACCAGACTTGGATAGTTATAAAAATACAAAGAAACCAGACCTTACCAGACCAGACCAGACCAGTTCAGACCAGACCAGACCAGACCAGCAAATAAAAAAGAGTTTAGTACGTAGTATAACTGTGTGACTATAGGGGTGCTAGGCGTGCTAGCAATTGCTAAAAAAGAGTTTTCCAAGTTCAAACTTTTAATTTTGAAAAGCTAAAACAAGTTTTTTTCAATAGTCAAGTAAGAAATGAAGCTAATAATCTAACATCCAAGCTAGTCAATTCAATGTATGTTTATTTAAAGGTAACGACTCAATAGCAATGAAAATTTATGGACAACTAAACTAGAAGGGAAATGAGAAGAACGATCTACGATTGGGGACAATGAGTCAATGAGGATCATTGGAAAAATAATCATGCAATAAGAGAGAACTAAGAGCTTGTTGGACATTATTATGGTTTAATAGCAATCCAAAGTCATGTAATTAAAGAAAAACAATTAGTAAATTTTTTTACTAATGCGTGTGTGAATGTGACAAAAGGAACCCTACAAGTATTCTTGATGGTCCAAAACAACATATAAGAATATTAAAACCATCAAAGTCAAAGAAAAATTCAAAGATGCATTTCGAAAAACATATAATATACATAATATAATTCTCAAGTTCCTCTAACACTACCAAAACAAGGCCCTATAGGGTCGGATTTTGGCACGTGCGCCTTCATTAAAAATCCCAGACTAACGGGCTTGGCATGGATATGAAATCCGTCCCACCTGGCTCGTGCCAAATGATTTGGCACGTAAACAACCGTCCGCGCCAAACCTTGGCGCGGATATGGGCTCGGACGTTGTCGTTCCAACAGTGCTTAACAATTCAAGAAATTTTTGCTCGGAAAACATCTGGGACGAATATTGGCACGGCTACCATCGGGTCAGGCATATCCATACCCGGTTGATTTGGCTTGGAAAATTTCTAGCCAACGTTTCCCAACCACATGATCTATGCCAATAAATTAAATTTGCATTTATAAATATCAAAGCTTTGGTTCAGATATATCCGTGCCAAATTTAAAATAACAAAAAAATGTACACCGTACATATGTACGGTGTACATTGTTTTTACAGATTAAATAACACAACATTAAAGAGTAATATAAGAACAACCCATGCAAAATAGTACAAATTAAAGAAAGTGAAAGAGAAAAGGGTCAAATAAGGTCTTCTACTATTATGAATGAAATCGTCACATAAGGTCATGTACTCAATAAAGTGTCATATAAATTCGTCTACTTATAAAAAACAATCGAATGAGTCTCAATGATCCGTTGACAACCTCTTAATCCTATTTTAGCTTACGTGTCAATTTTTTTGACTTGTATTTCAACCAATCTTAGGTAAATATTCGACATGTAGTGCCATATAAGCTATTATAAAAAGATGGTTTCAAGAACACTAAAATCGGGATTAGGAAGTTGTAAATAGGCCGTTCGGACTTATTAGATTGTTTTTACAAGTAGACGCATTTATATGACACTTTTTTGAGTATGTACATGACCTTATGTGACAATTTCATAATATATAGTAGAAGGCCTTATTTAATCCTTTTCTCAAAGTGAAATAAACATTAAAGCATTACAGCAGTCCAGGCAGATAAACCACATCCAAATATGAAGTCAAAATGGCAAATAAATTGCCAGAAGATGTCCAGATATTATAATAATATTAAAATTGTTTGTTACACATTCAATTTGGGATTCACCAAACATGTCTTCAAGCCGCACTTCAGTCGAATCATGGAGCCCATTCATTTGGGCAAAGGTCGGGGTACGAAAAGGCGAGAATCAGGCAGCGAGACGGAAGGGTTCGTGCTTCGCACTTGTTCCATGTACGCCATAAACACCGCAGACATGTTTGCCATATGAGTTTGCCATTGCTTCTCCGGCTGTGCAAATCGGGCTTCCAGCTGGTCCTTGATGCGGGAATCAATTTCCTGTCGAGTCGGCCCCGATATTCGGCTGGAACATTCAACATCGGGCAGCATTTCGGGCTCAGATCACGTCCCAAACCGCCTGCCTTTTACAGCGGGACCACCACGCAAAACAGCTCTGAATCATCCTCATTGTATGGCTTCCCTTAAGTTTCGATCTGGGCTTTCATTTCAAGGTACTTTTGCTGCAATCAGAAAACTTTTGTTCAAATGTATTCATAAAATAATATAATAATATGAAAACATATAAGAAACTGATAATTATAATTTACCCTAGTTTCAACTACATGTGCTGGGGGTCACCCGATTTCGGGACATACACCTTTTGGAATACTTCAATCTTCAAGGGAGCCCTATTCAACTACTTAGTCTACGAATACAAAAGTAAAAAAAATATCAGTAAAGCTAAAGAATAATAATCATTGAACATTTTTTAAATTTATAACTGAAACTAACCAGCCTTTCAACATGCGTCGTCGCCGGAATCCTGGCACCACAGTATTGTGATTCTTTCCCCGCTTTAGAGTTTCTGTTCTTCTTTCCAGCATGACTCTTCTTCTTATTAAAAACATTAGAGGCCCAATACTCTTGCAACAACTTCCAATCTCCGTCAGCAATCCAGTCCGGCTTCTTGTTGTCCTGCCTAGCCCTACCAATGTTTTGGTTCACGTCTAACTTTAACCATTTTTTGTACTTGATTATTGTGTTTTCGCCCATATATTGCCCTTCCGTCAATGTTTCTGGTGGTTGAATTCGCCGGAAAAGGACCACAAATGGTCATAAACACTACTCAACTTTCAAAAGTAAACAAAGTGAAAACGTGGACTTAATGTGGAATTAACATAAAACTCGTAAAACAAAAAATAAAATAAATTCAATATATAATACGGAGTACTTTGCAAGAAGAATATTGAAAAGTACTATTACGGCCCGAGAGTGTTACTTCTCGTACTTTATTTTTGGTTATTAAACTCTTTCGCATTTTCGGGGACATTTCAAACAATTGTTCTATTTTGAAGCACAAATAAAACTAGTTATAACATATGAGGATTTGATTTTGTGTCCACTATTTGGATTATATTGGAATTTGCATCCTATTTCCATAATCATTAATGTATGCACATCATCATGCCAACAACCGTAAAGGAATGGGTATGCAAAATAAAATAGATTTATGCTAAACTGAGTGAAAGCGAGATGCAAAATTCAGTTTTACTAAAAAAATGAAGTACGATGTCAAATTCTCCCTATAAGATAACTCATGTTTGAATCTAGCTTTGGGTTACACCAATATATAATTTGAACATAGTAAGTTCATGAATTAATTCAATACTGAGTTTAAGTTTGAACTTGGATTTGGGAGCTCGAATAGTTGAGCCAAACGCATCCGTTTCAAATTGAGTTGCAATTTTGACTTTTCTTAGTCAAACAGTCTCGTTTTGTTCACTTAATTAGGATGTCAATTTTTAATTATATTCTAATTTAGAGTTTACAACTTTGAAGAGATTTTAATGTAGTTTTTGAATATGTAGATTTTAATTATTAAAAATTCAATTAATTATTCATAGGGAGAGTTGACTTTTATTATTAGTTGACCAAAAAATGTTGACTTTGCAAAACAAATTGGGACGGAGGGGTAGTTCGATAGATGTTTACACCCATACTTGAAAACATTAGAAGTCAATTGTTGGTCATAATATTATTCACTCTATTTTCTATGCATGCACGAAACAACATTTTTCTATCTCTGATGAACTTCATTCTCATATCACACCTAGCTAACAACCAATAATCGTCTGATTTCAATTGGGACCAACGTAACTCCTCTTAAAAGATTTATCAAGTGTTAATGATTTTTCGTAGGGTAATTCTTCAAAGCAAGTTTGGTAAAAATGACCTTTCTCTTAGAGTATATTTGGGAGTTTGAAGGAGAGAGAAATGTATTGAAGGTTAGTTTTGAAGAAGGGTTTGCTTTACTACAAGGATAGGGTCATGCTGCCAAAGGGATCCATCAGAATTACTAATATTTTGAGGGAGTTCCATGATTCAGCTTGTGGAGGACATGCGGGATATCTCCGAACCTTGAAAAGAAACAACGCGCAGTGTCTTGTACTGGGAGGGAATGAGACATGACATACAGAAGTATGTACAAATGTAAAGTACATAAATATCCCTATTATTAATTCTATTACACCCCTCAAGCTATGCGAGAGAAACAACGCACAAGCTGTCTTTCAAAAACTGAAAACGCTGACTAGGGCGGAGCCGCTTTTGATCAAAAGTGTTCACATGAACACTTAACAGTAATTTTGAGAAACAAGTATAAGTATACATGTATAAATTTTGTGAAATTATTTATTGTGAACTTTCAAGTTTTAATGGTATGAAAAATGAACACCTAAAGTGTAAATCATAAATTAATCCACCACTGGTCATAAACCCATGAATTGCATGTCAATGCAAACTTCCCCTCCACACCAAAACTCAACTCTCAAACATGATATGTGTTCCAAAAACCTAACTGATCCTCTGAATATGTTTTAGTAGCACAGAATCACATTTCATTGACAAAATGAAAAGGTCAAAGGCAGCAACATTGTGCCATCAATTAAGATGGTAATTAAGATTTGTGAACATTAGATGATCAAAGTTTAGGAACGTTCATTGCTAATAATGTCAAAGATGACAAACATTTGCAGGATGAAGGGCCGGAAAATTAATTATATCTAAACTTATCCTTACATTTCCGGTAGTGAAGGGCCGCTGGCACCGCCGCACCGGC